GTGGTTTGTTTGCTATTTTGATGTAAAATTTTGATGGCTTAATATGTGAACTCTGCCAGTGGTTTGCTGCTGAGCTAAACTGCTGTTATTTGATTCAGGTTTAATATAATTATGCATGTAGTCATTTTGTACAGCAGTGTAGATCTGAAATCATTTTCTCTGATGTAATGATTGGTGTGCACATGGTAGATTCGACACATGCACGTTGTTAAATAAGAATCTGACATGTGGACGAACCAGTGAATGACATGTGTAACAACCATGACAGGGTACGTGAGCCAATACAAATAAATACGTGGTACAAATCCATCCTACCACGTGGTCAAATCAGAAAAATAAACGTGGGTAGCTCAGGGCATGACATATGGCCCAATACAATACTGACACGCGGACGTACAGCATGGAGACACGTGGTCGAGTAAAAGAAAGACACGCGGGGTATTGTGGTCACGCCACATGGACTAATAAAAATAGGACACTTGGTCCAATAAAGAAATGACACGTGACCCAACCGTAACATGATATGTGTGCCAATAGAAAACTGACATGTGGAACAACAGGGTCCCGACACGTGGTCTAGTAAGAACCTAAAACGTGCAAGAACCAAAGATGGCCACGTTGTGCAATAAGATGGTGACATGTACCCGAACCATCTCCAATGCAACCGGCTATAGCATGTACACGTGGAAAGTATCTCCAATGGAAGCACCCGCTAGCGTGGCTGCCCCCCGCCACGCATGCCAAAGCAGTTCTATGATGATCGGTTTTTGTCATAGATCTATCCAATTCAATGACGATTTTCTAGAATCGTCCGAGAATTGCAAAAATGACGCGACTTCTATGACGAATCATTTTTTGTCATAAATTCATCATAAAATTGAAATTATGATGAATTTGGCTCCTTTAGTGACGAAAGCTGATCGTCATAGAAGTTGATATTTCTAGTAATGTGCCTTGGTGAGGATCATACACATTGAGCGATTGAGTGTATCATTTGAGGAACTTACATTTCATTTTTCAAAATTCATTAAACCTCTGGATAGAAGGTTGTTCAAAGAATGAATGATTGGTAATTCTATTAAAACCGTTCTATCTTGCAACCACCTAAGACTTGGGAAAGCAATAAGCCCTATAGGGATTAAGTCAAAAGGGTGGATAGAATGCCAAACTTATTTAAATTAAGGAAGAATACTTTGTTATAGGCATGACACTTGTGAATTATATTCGGCATAGTAGCAACTCCTGATCAACAACCAATAACCTAGCTATTTGCTCAGGTCGAGCAAAGGTTAAGCTTGGGGGATCTTGTTGGCGGTCATTAACGATCAAATCCGACAGCCAACTATGGTAAAAAAGAGGAGAAATTGGCAAACTTAAACACATATGCATTTACTATTAACCAAGTTCCATATATATTTGGAGAATATTATTTTGCAGGTCACAAACACAAATACATGAAATAATTCACTGAAAGGCGCTTTCCGACACTGATTCGCGCAAAGAAACAAGGGAGACGCCCATCAACTCAACTCAACCGGGGCAAAGCACCATGGAGGAATGATCCACATCCAGCCCATAGCCCACCACACGAAGGCGGTGGCAAGGCAGCATGGTCAAGGGGCGACCGACCCCTAGGCGGTGTAGCTTTGTCCTCGCCAAGAATAGCCGAACCACCGCCCTTGAGCCCTGTATAAATAGAGGGGTACCCCTCTCATAAGACACACTCAACTTGAGCATTGCCTCACTCCGTTCTCTAGTTTGTAGCTTTTACCTTTAGTAGTGTTTTAGAACAAGACAAAGCTGTCTTGGAGAGCTTGGCTACTTGGAAGAAGAGACCTTTGGTATGAAGAGATATGAGTTCTTTCAAAGTTATGCTCTCACATTACATTTATAGTCATGCTTATGAACTAGAGTATAGTTGTTATGTTATAATCTTGATATATGAACTAGGCTATAGTTTGTGTATCATGAGAGTATGATACATGATTTTATACTTAAACACTCATATAACTTATATAATCGGAATTAGAGCTAAGTTGAGGTGGTGGTTCATCGTGTTGTCAGGTGTGCCCAAGTTCTTTACCTGTCGATCCGTAGGGTCGGAGACCCGGGGGAATTTGGGTAGTTTCTGTATACGCAAGCGTGGTGCTAGGGTATGGAGAGACATATGAATGCATTGTCCCTTTCCACGGTTAAGGGGTAGGCGGTAGGTGGTGACAGCCCTGTCCGTCCCTTGTAACCCCCCACGTTCGACTGGGGTGTAGAAGTCTAAATTGTCACATTAGGTTGCTGGCAGACCAGTACTAGGAGTCCTTCTGATCTGCTTCACACTTAGTCATAAGACTAATTATGTAATTTATATGATCATTAACTAATATTTGTATGACTATACTAGACCAATATCTGCTCGACTTAGAATTATTCTTTTATTCTTTGTCTTTATTTTATCGTTTGAGGAATGCCAAGTGTGTGTCCACTATCTTGAAATCACCGTTTTTACCCCTACTATAAACATTGGTGCACTTACAAGCATTATTATTCAAGTTCATATTCATACTAGACTCTTAATCAAATGCCTTCCTTTGGAAAAATATAAATAACGATACTCTGAATACTTCCGGGTGAAATGCTACAATGATAGCTCCGTGCGCTTATGGATAAATATATAAAATTGTTAAGAAACTATCAAGGCACTTCTGGTATCGTTACTAGGGATACAAACTTAGTAACGACGCTCGGTCTTGCCAACCGGCATTTCTGGCACCATTGCTGAAGATGGATTCAAACCTCATTCTTTGTAGTGACGTTAAGAAATGCCAACAGTTGCCCTCACCTAGACGGCTTGGTGCAGCGAGGATCGTCGAGCGAAGGAAGGTGATTGTCTCCGGCTCCGATCATGGTGATTGTGAGGGGTTCTTGACCTTTCTCCAGTGGAGAGCCAAAATGTACTTTAATGAATTACTCGTGGCTTGTGGATCCTCATCTTATGTTGGTTGTGTGGCATCCGGTTACGGGTTAGGCGTGTAATGCCTATTAGGCGTGAACCTCCAAGTGAGTGAATAGCTACAACGGGGACTAGCTTACCAGTAAGCAAGTGAACCTCGATGAAAAATCATTGTATCATCTTGTCTCTGAGGATTTCATTGGTATTCATTATGATTGATTGTTTGTCGCCTGCCACGTCAGTATATTTCACTACCTTACCCTTGTACTCACATTCCTAGTGTAGCTAAGCTCTTTAGTATAATTAGTTTTGAGAGCTAGCTTGTGTCTTGTCTAGTGGTTAGTGAGACTCTTTAGTTAGTCTTTAAGAACTCACTAAATTAGTGGCAGTGACATAACCTCTTGTGTGTGAAATAGAGATCATAGCAACTAGAATTGTGGATAGGAAGCTTACATTTTTAGTAAGCTAGCGCAATACTTACTTCGTCGTTTAATTAACTAATTACTTGATTTAAGTGTTATTGTAGATTTTCTAATATGCTATTCAAGCTTCTCTGGTCATCAGGACCTTTCAAGAATCACTGCCAGTTTCTTCCTGGAGAGTCAATGTTTTTTGAGCTTTTCATTCATCGATGTTTCGGTGGCCGAAGCTCTTGGTTCTCTTAAAGTGCTCTCATTGTCCTTGCTGATGTAGGTCCCAGTGGGACCCCTAAGCTATAGGCTTTCAGTCTGTTCGCTTGCTCGTAAACGATCGTAAATTTTTAGCCGGAAACAGTGTTTTTCTCTCACACCAAACCAGCCAGCAGTAAATAATCCACGATACGATACGGCCTCCCGAACAGGCTGTTTGTTTGCAACGATGGTCGTGCCTGTCATTGTCCTACACGGTGGCCAGTGATTGCCTCGTGCCGTCTAGCAGGTGCGTCCTCGTCGTTTGTTATCACCCCCTAAGGCAGATTAGGTTTTCGTCTTCGGAGCTATGGTCACCCGAAGCTTTCGTGGGATTTGATACCGGACATCTTATTTAAATTTATATTGATATGCTCTACTCTCTAGATGCTTTTCTTCAGGAGGGTTAAAGTTTTATTATGCCCAGTTGACCAGTTCCAAAGTCGCTAAGTGGCTGTTTTTATGTAATTGAGGATTTCTATCCCTAACTTATGTACTACTCTCCCCGTTCTAAAATAGAAGACGTTATAGGATTCAAATTTTATCTACAATACTTGACACTCCCGCTTCCCAATGCATCTTTCTCTTCTTCCAATACACCATTTTTTCTTTTAAATACATCTCTATCTCTATTTCTTTCAATCTTTCTCCATCTTGTTTTCTATGCACAACGCCTGTTTACACCTCCTTCATTCTCATGTCAAACATAAAACGTCTTCTATTTTGAGATGGCTTTTACTATGTATTTAAATATATATTAGATCTAAATGTATAGTAAAGATAATTTATCTAGAAAACTAAAATATCTTATAATTAATTTGGAACGGAGAAACGTATGCGTTTTTTCTTTTTCTTTTTCTTTTTTAAAAAAGAGCAAAGCCCCCTCCCATACCGCGTATGCTCGCTCTCTCTCGGAGTCGTGGTTCTCCCGCTGCGCCCGCCGCCCGCCGCCCCCCGCGCTCTCTCTGTCGTGGCGACGACTGGGCGACAGCCGCCGCCGCCCCCAGCCAGGCCCTTTGCCGCCGACGGGCACCCACTAGGTACGCCTACCCCTTCTCTTCACCTAACTTAAGTTATTTGTATTCGGATCTGAATCTGATCTAATTAAGTGTAGTGTATATGTAGTATTATGTCTGCTAACTTTTGGTGAAAAAATTCGGGTGTACACCCATGTGATTTGCTGGGTCCGCCCTGGATACTCCAAATCCATCGCGGATTTGTTAATTTTGTTTATAGTGTGATGAATAGCTACTAATTACTTTGTTTTTCAAAAAAATAGATTGTTGATTCGAACTCCCATTCCTTGTCTAACATGGTCAGCGATCATGCAGGTTCGCATTTAAACATCCCTGGAGATGCATCCCCCACTAACCTTACACAGGCATCCTATGTGTGCTGAGGTATGGCTGTGCTTATGTCTGGTTCTGTTTAAAGCTTCGGTGGTTGGAATCTGTATTTTGCTCAATTTTTCATGCAGCTAATGTCCATTTATCACCCAGATTATTGAAGCATTCCAGAAGTGCCATGTGAATCACCCGGTTAAGAAGTTCTTTGGCGAGTGCACAGATCTTAAGATTAAGCTAGACCAGTGCTTCCGGCAGGAGGTACCGATTCTTGTTCTTTTGGGTCTTGTGAGAATTGATGATAACATTTTCTTATCTGTTCCTATGTGGGAACTGATGATGTTGGTTTTCCGCTTCCCTAAATGCTGTTTTGTTCTTTGTGAAATTCAGAAAGCTTTGAAGAGGAAGGCAAACTTTGAGGAGAGCAAGAAATTTAAAGAACAGTTGCAGGCCTATAAAAGGGAAATGGCTGAGGAAAACAAGGAACACTAACTTGGAAGAGAGGGCGGCGCCATGAATTTGAATGTTCTTTTTGTCACATTCCAGTAGCCTTGGTTGTGTGCACATTTTTACTGTTCAAAATGGTTGCTAGTGATGAGCTAGAGGATCTAATTAATACAGTGAACTTTGTTGTTCTGAACTCATTCCTGTGTTAATACTACTTATGTTGGTCGACTCTCAAGGAGGATTAACAACCTAATGCTCTATCAGTAACACTGGAAGCTGTATATAGCAGAGTAGCAGACAAAGAATAATGTTTGCACTATGTTTTACTGAATGAACTTTAGATTGAATTGAAGCCTTCTAGGCTTTTTAATTTTATATGTTCACTCCTACAAACATTCTAGAATATGACTCCCCAGAAAATTTTCAGTTCTATTGGAATGTCACATGAATTCCACTGGAGGCTGTTTTGTTCTGTGCAGTCCTACCAGCAGCCATCAACATGCAGAAAATGGTTAAGGCTCATGGCTCATTGTCTGGTTAGGAAATTGCATTTAGTCATGCATTTTCTTGTTCCACTATTTGTTATTACATCTTTGAGATTCTTTACATTTGTTTCAAAGCCATCTAAGGCCAAGGACTGTTAGGCTGTTAGCCTTTTTCCTTTTTTTTTAAACGAGGAAACTCCCCATTTCCATTACTGTAATAACAGAAATATATGCTGTTTGATAACCAGAAACAGACTGGAGGAAATAAAAAAAGCACCAGGTAAGCGCACTAGGAAAAAAAAAAGCATCAGGTAAATGCACTAGGACTAACCTTGGAGAATAGCAAGGTACTGAGCATTTGTATTGCGAACCATCATGTTCCTGTTCCTTTCAGAGAGGAGCAGCAATAGCAAAAGGTCAATAGAGGGAGAGAAGATGAAACCTACTCTGTTAAAATGGGAATTTCACCTTTTTTCACAGGTCAGTCATCTGAGCAACCATTCTGCCGTAAGAATTTTGGTAACTATGAATGACTTAATCAGCAAGCTTGTTATTCCTCTCTTTTTCTTTATTTTTAATGCATCCATATTGTTTTTGAACCTTCAAATCCATTACGTTTGTTCATGTGATGGTTTGAACTTTTTATTTTCTTCATATTCATATACTAAAATAAAATAACTATACACCTCAACCTACTGTCAATTCAATTGCACTACAATTCCCTCGAATAGATACGTGATGCTGTCTTGTTGTATTTCTGTTCCATTCTTTTTCTCTTGGAACTTTTCAGCATCAATTGTTTGTTGTTGACCTGTAAGTTCTCAGTAAGTTTTCATTTTTTGACTTGTTAATTAACTGATTGAGCTTTATACTTCAACAATCAGAATGCTTTCCGTTGCCTGCAATGCACTCGAGAAAATGCATCAAATGGTAATCACTCTTAATAGTTACATATATTGTATGAACTGGTCTATCTGAATTATAATTAATTTTCTGCTCTTTTCCTTGGAGATTCAGTTCAGTGTTGTTTGGCTTTCAATTTTTATTATTGGAAGTGCAGAGACTTTAGAACAGTACAAGCATGATCACAAAATGGATATTTGATATAAAATGATTGCATATTTCAAGGTTTTCTTTTGCTTATAATATATTGAAAACTTTTGGGGACTAATGTTAGGTACAAAATAATATATACTCTTGTGAGTTCACAAGTAAAAAACAAACACGAGACACACACCCCCATACTCCCTTCGCCCATATTTGATCCGCACATTTGCAAAATGGAAAGATCCAAGATTGATCAGCGTATACTGCTGGCAGGCACCCTTTACTTGGGTTGCATGTGGACCAAGACCCTGCGTCTGGGTGAAAATTGTTCAGAGACGGAGGCGAACCAATGACAGTGAGCAATGAGACTGGACCAATGAGGATTAAATGGCTCTTGGTCTCCGTGAAACTAACAAATACACTTATCAAATATGGATGGATGGATTATCATCTACTGGTTTTCAATCGAACAAGATGGCTGACGAGTGGAGGAGAAGTATATTGTTACCGATCTACAAGAATAAAGGGGATATTCAAAGTTGTACTAATTACCGGGGAATTAAGTTGATGAGTCATACTATGAAGCTATAGGAGAGAGTTATCGAGCATCGTTTGAGAGCAATAACGCGGGTCTCTATGAACCAATTTGGTTTCATGCCCGGAAGGTCAACCATGAAAGTCATTTTCTTAATAAGACAAGTTATGGAGCGGTATAGGGAGAAGAAGAAAAACCTACACATGGTTTTTATTGACTTGGAGAAGGCTTATGATAAAATACCAAGGAATGTTATGTGGTGGGCTTTGGACAAACATAAAGTCCCAACGAAGTACGTCGGGCTCATTAAGGACATGTACAACAATGTTGTGACTGGTGTTCGAACAAGTGATGGAGACACGGATGACTTTTCGATTAGGATAGGACTACATCAAGGGTCAGCTTTGAGTCCTTATCTGTTTGCCTTAGTGATGGATGAGGTCACAAGGGACATACAAGAGGACATCCCTTGGTGTATACTTTTCGCGGACGATGTAGTGCTAGTTGATGAAAGCCGGACAAGAGTGAATCAGAAACTGGAGTTATGGCGGGAGACTTTGGAGTCCAAAGGTTTTAGACTCAGTAAAACTAAAACTGAGTATATGAGATGTGACTTCGGCACTACTACTTGGGAGGAGGAAGATATTAGTTTGAAAGGTCAAGTAGTGCCTAAGAAGGATACCTTTCGATATTTAGGATCAATGCTACAAAGAGACGGGGATATTGATGAAGATGTTAGCCATAGAATCAAAGCAGGGTGGATGAAGTGGCGCCAATCATCTGGTGTCATATGTGATAAAAGGGTACCACAGAAGCTAAAAGGCAAGTTTTATAGGACGACGATTAGACCTGCTATGTTGTATGGTGTAGAATGTTGGCCTACGAAAAGACGACATGTTCAACAGATAAGTGTCACGGAAATGCGTATGTTGCGTTGGACTTGCGGTCATACAAGAAGGGATCGAGTTCGGAACGATGATATACGTAATAGATTAGGGGTAGCACCAATTGAAGAAAAGCTTGTCCAACACCGGTTGAGATGGTTTGGACATGTCCAACGGAGACCTTCAGAGGCACCGGTGCGTAGTGGAATCCTAAGCCAGGATAGTAACGTAAAGAGAGGTAGAGGAAGACCGAAGTTGACTTGGGTAGAGGCAATAAAAGGAGACTTGAAAGGATGGAATATATCCAAAGACTTAGCCTTAGATAGGAGTGCTTGGAAAACAGCTATTCACGTGCCTAAACCTTGATTGCTTCTGCTGGGTTTCAACTCTAGTCTACCCCAACTTGTTTGGAACTTAAAGGCTTTATTGTTGTTGTTGTTGTTGTTGGATTATCATCTACTGGGAGGTCAAGTTATGTATTTGTAGTGCAGTCAACTTGGTAACTGGCATACTGAATAACAAACTGGCAGGCCAAGCCCTTTATTTATCACATGTTCATCAAGATAAAGATCATAGTGCAGTCTTGCCCTGCTAGCAAATGACTAAATGGGGAGGCCTGACAGAAGCCACATGTTTGTCATCTGAATCTTAAGGCATGAGTGCAACTTCGAACAACTAGAGGCTTGGAAGCTAGCTGACAATGTTGTGTTTGTGAAGTGTGGGGATATTCTTTCACCAGATTTGCTATCCTGGAAGAGAATCTGACATCAGTAAGATTTTCTCATATGATTCCTAATTTTACAAAGAAAGATCACTTGATTAACTTATATTTCATCAGGCAGTTAAAACCATCTGAGATTCCTGTGCCTCGTTTTTTTTTTCTTTTTACTTATTTTGAACAAAAAAGAGAGAATGTGTTTCAAAGTAGAATGGGGGCTCGAACCACCAGTCTTGTCCAGTTCTGCTTTAGCATTAGTACCCTGGAAATTTATTTGTCCTACCTACCTGCCTTTCCCCACCAGCATCCTTTTTGCCTTTATATAGCCTGTTCGCTGGTTGGTTTCTGGACTGATAAGCCCGGCTGGTGCTGGTTTGTTGTGAGAGGAAAACACTGTTGGTTGGTTGATAAGCCCTGGCTGAAACCAACAAGCGAACAGGCTGAGTATCTGTTAGGCTCTGAGAGTCTCTGTTGTAAGTGCCATCCTATTGGTAAGCCACTCTGTGTCCCTCTTGGGGAGGTAGCAGCTGAGGAGCAAGGAAAGCGATCATGGAAAGTATACCTCTTCTGAGTCCTTATGAAACAGAAAGATTCAGGTTTTCACACAGGTTAGTTAGACATGCTAGAGTTTCAGTAGACTTGGATGACTTCGTATGTCAATTTACTTGTTCTCATCTGCTCTTCAAACTTTCTCATGCATCAGTTGTGTTACTGACCTGCAAATTGCTCCAGCTCTGCTATGGAGATTAATTTTCTTCGGTTTATAAAATAGTTTGTTTTGCACTAATTGCTACTTGCACTGGAATACTCTTGGAGAAATACATGTCTAAAATGGATGTCTGGTCTAAATCAAGTGTGAACAACCATGTCCTGCACACACACTGATCCTTTAGGCTTATGAAAACTCTGAGAAGTCCCTATTGAAATTTAAAAGCCTTGAGGTTGATGTATTGCACTTGGCACAGTAATTATCATGCCTCAGAACTAATTGACATCTTCTTTATGATCACTTTCTTCATCTTCATGCAGAACTGTACTGGCACCCTTGACAAGAGCCAGATCATATGGCAATCTTCCACAATCGCATGCCATATTGTACTACTCACAGAGGGCTACAGAGGGCTGTCTTCTGATTGCTGAAGCCACAGGGGTGTCATCTGATGCTCAAGGGATGAGTTTAATTCCACACACCCCAGGGATTTGGACCAAGGCACAAGTAGAGGCCTGGAAGCCTGTTGTGGATGCAGTACATGCAAAAGGTGGAATATTCTTCTGCCAGATTTGGCATGTAGGAAGAGCATCTGATATGGGTAAACATTTCTTACCTGACCCCTTCCATTTCCTTCTATTAACCACCATAATGAATGTGATGATGTTTGGTGAATGCTGTGCTGATATCACACTTGACACTACCCTCCACCTGCAGCAGAATGCTTCAAACTTAATATTAGTGTTTGTGGTTCCATCAAAGCCTTTTATAGGCCATCTTGTATCTTCTGCAAGAAATCTTTTCAGGTTTGGTGCAACTGCAACCACAGGAGCCTCACCTACCCTGTGTTCCAAAACTGAACTGAAAAATTAATTATTTCATTAACATCTCTTACTTTAGTCATTCAGCTTAATTGATTATGAATATTTGGAACCAATGATTCTGAGGGATGATTATCTTTTTATTACCAGAGAAAGAACCCATCTCCGGCACAGATAAGCCAGTGAAAAAGAATGGAGATGACCACATGGATTTCCCCATTCCAAGACGCTTAACCATAGAAGAGATCCCCAATGTAATCAATCATTTCAGAGTTGCTGCAAGAAATGCTGTGGATGCTGGTAAGCTGATAGTCAACATAATAGAAAATAAAAAGCAAATAACAAAAAGCATCACTACTCTTTGTTTTCAGGATGAAATTTACTTGCTCATAATAATTAGATGCTGTAAAAATAGAATTTAAATTGTAGCTAACTTCTGTAAGATAGGTTCCTGGTTTGTTTGATTACAAATATTATAGGTTCTTGGTTTGTTCGATTACAAAGATTAGATATTCTATTACCTCGCTGTACCTTCTGAAACATGTACAAGGACCTTACGTGATCAGCATCATAACACGTATCAAATGTAGGTTTTGATGGGGTTGAAATCCATGGTGCTCATGGCTTCCTTCTCGAGCAATTCATGAAAGACAGTGTCAATGACCGCACTGACAAGTATGGAGGCAGCATACAGAATCGCTGTCGCATTGCCCTTGAGGTAGTTGATGCTGTGGTGACTGAGATTGGGTCAGACCGTGTGGGGATCGGCCTCTCTCCTTATGCCAAATTACCTTGGTTGCCATGACTCGGACCCAGACAGGTTGGGTGTCTACATGGCTCAGGAACTGAACAGATACAACATCCTGTATTGCAGTGCGGTGGAACCTGAGATGGTCATGGTGGATGGCAAGATGAAAATCCCACACAGGCTGCACGAAATGAGGAAGGCCTTCAACGGAACTTTCATGGTTGGTGGAGGTTACGACAGGGAAGAGGGGAACAGAGTTGTGGCTGATGGATATGCTGACATGGTCGTATACGGCCGCTTATTCTTGGCGAATCCTGACCTGCCGAGGCGATTCCATCTGAATGCTCCCCTGAACAAGTACGATCGATCAACATTCTACACCGATGATCCTGTTGTTGGCTACACGGATTTCCCATTTCTTGAGAACTGTGAACCACTCGACTCCCAAGACGGGGAGGGATCTACCAAAACAAAGCAAAACTAAGGGATGATCAGAATTGCCTACTCCCTCTGTCGTAATCCTTCCTCGGTTCAAAAAAAAAGAATGAACTGTTAATTTTGGAGGAGTCGAGCTTTTTTAATTTAACTATATTAATAGAAAATAGTATGGATATTTGTATCTCCAAATATATTTGCTATAGAAATATATTTTACTAATGATACTCGTTACATATTACTAGCCTAGTGTGTAACTCTGTGTCCAACTGCTTGCTTCTATTCTCAAGTGTGGTTCGCACATTTGTTAATGTAGCCTCGATCTGTAATGTAATCACGGATTAGCGTTAGTTTCTGTTTGAGAGCAAGCTAGACGGGCTTGGCTGGTTTTGTGTGGTGTGGATACTGCGTTGCACTGAAGAGTTGTGCCATTGAAGTATTAAGTTATCAGACGCAATATTCACTCAGACCCTTGCTGATTGACACTAAGATTTTGCACTGATGCATGATTCGTGAGAAGCTTTGAAGGTTTACCTTTCACCTTGCATTGCTGTACACGTTCTACAGCCAGCCCGTTGTTTGTGGGTAAAAAAAAAAAAAAAAATCACGTTACCTCCCTCAACTTTTGCGAAAATCTGTTTTCCCTTCCTAAACTCTAAAACCGGATAAATCACCTCCGTGAACTTTTAAAACCGATCGTTTTGTCTTTTTTTTTTTATTTCGACTGAATCTTTGAAAAATCATAGTAAATCATAGAAAAATCTAATTTTGTTGGGCTCCACATGAGTAGATCTACACAGTGAATATATAATATGGTATGCTTTAGTACAAATTTTTTGTTGTAGCTTTAGAACTATGTTTTTCTATAATTAATTCATAGTTGCAGTTTCTATGGTCCAATTATGGTGAAATTTTTATGGTGAACTAATTATTGTATGCTTGAACTGTAGTAAAAATTTCATGGTCATTGGATCATGTATAACGTAGTTAAATCTATAACTACGTTATACATGATCTATCACCCTGATTTTATTCCATTGGTCAGGAAGATTTTGTTTAAGCTTTGCAGAGCCAAAACTGCTCTGGATAAGATACAACAGAAATTAAAGCTTTTTAAGCAATATTTCAAAGGTTGGGGTTTTAATATGCAAGGTGAATTGAAAAAACAACGAAATAAATGCAGTGACGAAATTGCCAAGTTGGAGGCTCTAGAAGAACTAAATGGTCTTGATGCTGAGCAAGTTATTTTGAAAACAAAATTGATTAGTGAGAATCTTGAACTCTTAGATCAAGAGGAATCATATTGGTTTAACAGATCTCATGAGCAGTGGTTACTCAAAGGAGTACAAGTTATTTTCATAGAATTGCTAATGGAAGGAAAAGGAAAAACACTGTTATATCTCTGGAACATGATGATAATACTATTGAGGGTGATGAAAATCTTTTGAAACATGCAACTGAATATTATGCTGAGCTGTTTGGACCTGAAGTGGAACATAATGTGCATATAGATCAAAGTTTATGGAATGAATTAGAACAAGTCTCTGGTCTGGATAATGAATTTCTATGTGAATCTTTCTCTGAAAAGAAAATTAAAGAAGCATTATCCCAAATGGAAAAAAAACAAGGTTGCTGGCCCAGACAAAATACCTATTGAGTTTCATCAAGTGTGCTGGGAAGTTATCAAAGAAGATATCATACAGTTATTTCATGACTTTCATGAAGGGGGGTGGATATCAGTAGAATAAATTATGGTGTGATTACACTGTTACCAAAGGTTACAGATGCATCTAGAATTCAGCAATTTAGACCCATATGTCTGTTAAACTGCTTATATAAACTCATTACTAAGACTTTGACTTTGAGACTCGAGAAAGTAGCTGACAAACTCATTCACACCAATCAGACTGCCTTCATGAAAGGCAGGAACATCATGAGTGGGATTATGATCTTACATGAAATTTTACATGAAACAAAAAGGAAAAAACAAATTGGTATCATTTTGAAATTAGATTTCGAAAAAGCATATGATAAGGTAAAATGGAGCTTCCTGTTTAGATCTCTAGAAGCTAGAGGATTTTGCCCTAAATGATGCAATTGGATTAGGAATGTTGTCTCGGGGGGAACTGTCAGCGTGAAATTGAATAACCTCACTAGTAGTTATATTAAAAGTTTCAAGGGAGTGAGGCAGGATGATCCCCTCTCTCTAATCTTATTTAACTTCGTTGCTGATGGGCTCTCAAGAATGATACACAAAGCACAATCAAATGGGCTTTTCTGTGGCTTGGCTGACCATATTACTGAGAATGGTGTTGCTGTTCTACAGTATGCCGATGATACAATAATCTGCTTAAAACATAACATTGAGGGTGCTCGAAACATGAAACTACTTACATGTATGAGCTGATGGCTAGATTAAAAATTAATTTTCTCAAAAGCGAAATCCTGACTATAAATGATGAAGATGACTGGGCTACCACTTATGCTGATCTGTTTAATTGTCAAGTTGGGACCTTCCCAATTAAGTACTTAGGCGTGCCAGTAAGTCCTAGCAGGTTACATGTTGCAGATTGGCTGCCTTTAGTAGATAAAAGTGCCGAGAAATTGGATGTTTGGCAAGGAAGCTCTTTGTCCATTGCAGGTAGGACGACTCTGATTAGATTTAGCCTTAATAATGCTCCCATCTACCACATGTCCATTTACTTGCTCCCGAAAACAGTACTCAATAAGTTGGATAAACTTAGAAGGGTTTTCTTCTGGCAAGGTGGGGGAACAAAACGAAAATATCACCTTATTAAGTGGCCCAGGATATGTAAAAGCAAAAGGAAGGGAGGTCTTGGTGTTAAGGACATCAAGAAAATGAATATCGGTTTGCTTTGTAAATGGTGGTGGAAACTAGACACAGAAGATGGACTATGGCAGCAGATCATTAGATTCAAATATCTTAAAAACAACTCAATTTGTTCTGTGAAACACAAACAAAATGACTCAGCTATCTGGGCTGATCTTCTAAAAGTCAAAGATATGTATTTACAAGGAAGGAAAATGGTGATTAGTGATGGCAGTAATACTCTGTTCTGGAAAGACAGTTGGTTGTATGATAAACCTCTGAATATTCTGTTTCCTGATTTATTTAAACTTTGTGAAAAACAAAACATACCTGTACAACAAGTGAAATGTGACATTCAGTTGGTTTCTTTCACTAGATGGCTAGTTAACGATTTGCAGCATGACTGGTTGAAAATTTTGTCTTACTTGAATCTCATTAATAAATCAGATTGTAAAGATAAAGTCACATGGAAATTTGGTAAGAATGGTCGATTTAGTGTTAAATCTACATATGATGCTATGACTGTTAATGATTCTGGTTTATACAATAAGAGAATCTGGAAAAGTAAGGTGCCGACTAAAATCAAGATTTTTTTTGTGGCTTATGCTTAATAATGCGATTTTGACAAAAGATAATATGGTCAAAAGGAAGTGGCAAGGAGATCCAACTTGCTACTTTTGTACTGATAATGAATCTCTGTCTCACTTATTCTTCCAATGCAGCACAGCTAAGGCTATGTGGGCAATTGTGGCAAAATGCTTTGGTGC